TAATTTTAATTTTACAATATCCATAAAAAAATTCAAGAAAATACTATAAAATATGAAAAGTTTAAAAAATATATACGTAACAATTTATTTATCATTGTATCAGTATATATTTATATATCATTGTATCAACATTTTATCGTGGTTGGTCTAACTTACTTACATTTACTCCTCAAGTAACACTTCTGATTTTTTATTTATTATTTTACTTAGCAAATTATTTTACAATTCACAATCACTTTTATTAATAATAATAATAATAATAATAATAATTGTTATTATTATTAAAATTTATATTGAAAATTTATCACCATTCTTTTAATAGATATCTATTATACATTTTTAATGTTTCTATTTCTTTCTAATTATTATATTATATTTCTTATAAATTTATTATTTTCGTATCTTGGTGGAGAGGAGTATTTGGGTTTTGACGGAATATTTTCTTTACCAAAGTCATATTTACTAGAGTCTTCAAGAATTTGTTCACTTCTTCTACTTTTGGCTTTAACTTTTAAGTTAGAGAATGCTTCATCACTTAACTTTGTTATTGTCAACGCTTTTCATAAGCATATTTATGTTTAGAAGACTTCAGCCAAAGAAAACATTAATTCCATTACTCATGTAATTCAACTAGTAGATTTTAACCATTAATTCTAGAATCAAATAATATATTATTAAAAAATAATAAATAAATATAAAAGAGAGAGGATAAAGTTATAAATCTATAAGTAAATATATAAAATAATTATTAAGTTTAGGAGACAAGATCATAAATTATATGAGAGTTATAAAACAGAAAAAAGACTGAGAAGATAAAATTGTAAATATATAAATAAATATATTAAAATTTAAAGTTTAGAGAGATTAAAATCATAAATTACATTTAAATTAGAAAACTTTGAAGTTCACCGCTCAATTATAAAAAAATCGGCCACTCAAACTAGCTAGATAAGTTTGTATTAGGAAGTTCAACCTTTCCACCTGCGTAATCCAACTTCCAAAATTCACACGGGTGAAATGGCATATTTGGTTGAGTTTACTTTTAGGTTGTCCTTTTTTTCAAGTTAAATTAAAATTCACTTTTTTGAAGTAAATGAATACTGCCTACTTTTAAAAAAAAAAATTTGAATTCCACGAAGATGATTTTTTATTTTTTTTTGTAAGAATTAGAATTTTGAACAAATTAACAAAATAGTTTAAAATTTAGGATCGATTATCCCTTAAGTTTTAACTGAGTAAGTTCCTTGGTTTACTTGTTTAATATATTTTTCTCTCTTTGTTTAATATATTAAAAGGCCAACTCAATGTAACTGAGTTAAATTAAATCGATAATTTTAATCTAGATATAAATTATTTTTAAGCACCTCATCTATACTGTTATTTTTCTGCATCTCTATTCTTATCATATTATACACAATACTTATGAAATTTATACTTTTCCCTTTCTACGTGTCATTTAATATTTTGTACGTCTATTTATTATTTTTATACAATCTAATATAATAATGGATCCAACAATCCAAGCTACCTTTTTTTTTTTATGGATTGAGATAAGATTGAGTTGAACTGTGTACTTGAAAAGTTATATTTGGAAACATTAGTATTCTATAAGTTTTGTGTTGAGTTTACTTCAATGATTTAGGGTGTAACTCTGTTTGACAAAGATTTCCCACACTTTTCAAGATAAAGAAGTAAGAAAAATAATAGCATGATGACTTCGAATTCAAATGAGTTCACCTGAAAACACAAACACTGACTTGGATAATATGTTAGACGCATGTTGGACTTAACTATTTATAGAGCGGGAAAATGAAGGTGGGAGAAGGCCATTTCAATCAAAAAGAGTACTTTTAACTTCGAAGGTAGAGAGATGTTTATTTGATATGAAAACTTTGAAGGTAGAAATTAATGAAGGTGCATGTATGATTGACATATTTGAAAAGGATCGCGAGGGTATGAAGGAAGAACTTGACCATGACAAAATTATGGTCAAATGAACATGGGAAGTGAAATAAGATTCAGACCCGATAAGTTATTATCAAGACTGAGTCCCCTTGTGAATGATGGCCAATTTCATTAGCAGTTTGAGTTATGCTTTTCAGACTTGGAATATTTTTGGTACACACAATTGAAATGGACACATCATATGTGCACGTATACTTGTCTCAACGACTGCCTGTAAATACTATTAGGGTGACAATAGACTTGTTTGTCTCTCTTGACCATAATGCGATGAATGACGAAAGTACATTAGTACATGTTTGGGTCTGTGAGTGTATGTAGAGAGAGAGAGAGGGAGAGCTTGGAAATTAAACCACATAACGCGAAAGATACAAGTCCCTGGACCCATTGTGGGCTTTTCTTAGGTGCACGAGGACACAAAGAATTTGTTGTGGGGGCTTAAATAGGGATAGGACCCCCCACATGCTTGTCCTTTCTAATAACTTCACCCTGCCAATTTTCACCTGCTCTTTGCTTCTTTTCCACGTCTTAGTGCAGAGTGAAGAAGATTGATGGGTTTGATGGATTCTGAAATTATAACTATTGCATTCATTCAGAGAAACAACAAGTTCAGAAAGCCATACTCACTTTTTTCTCTGAGCCACAACAGTGTATATATTACACCCCTAATTTCCTTTGGTTATTTATTCGCCACAAATTATTGAGTTTTGTTAGTTCCAACGCCAACATGTCCAATGCTATAATCTAATCTTATTTATACCCATTAAAAGGGACTTGACGGGGTAAGGGAGATATTCTGAGGGAAAGTTGATCAGGGATTTGATTTGGTTCACCAAAAATTCCAAGAAAGAAAAGGTTGAGGCCTTTGGTGATCTCGAGGAGGAAAGCGGGGTCAGGATGACTCTCACAGTCATATTATCATATATACAGTGAGAAAGAGGTTATGAATTGGAGGTCTTAATATGGACGTGACTCTCACTGCGAAGGCCTCGTGTCCCTCATACCCATTCATATTCTTTGAGGGGGAGGGGCGATATGAGGCTTCTGACTTTTCTTGATTTTAATGAGTGTAACAGTGTCTGTGTTCTGTGTGCTGAGAGAGGGAGTAAATAAAGTGACTGACAAAACTGGAGGGAGAAACAGAAGATGTTTTCAGCATTTAGCTCTGTACTTACACTGAGTCTGCGAAGACACATGAATATTATTCATAATTTAGAGAGAGAGAGAGAGATAAATAATCTAAGTATTGTTTCAATTTTCATGATTTGAAATTGAAGTTCCATTCTTTGTTTTTCTTATCTTTATAAAAAAAAAAACTATACAATTGGGCTTCCTTTTTAACATGATGATTTATGATTACATGTATATGAGATTAATATATAGTTTGCCGCTTGCTTTGTTTTTTGGTATGAAAGGCTTTACTTTTTCCTTCAGGGAAATGAATTGATCGTGAACAAAAACCCTAACCCTATCCCTATTTTTTCTTAGGATTAGGAATTTATTTAATGCTGCAACTTTTCTGGGATTCTGATATCACCAGGATCGGATCAGAATTTTACCTGCCAATTGCAAACTAACATTTGCCTAGATAAAAACAATCCAATGAATAAGATGTATAAAGGCTATTAATGTTTACCAATTTCATTCAGTGAAGCTACATACATAACATTTCTGTATCTGCATAGTTACTATATAAAATAATTGATATAAGTTCGAATGCATGCAAGTTGTTGTCAATGTAGCTGCAGTCTATGAGAGAGAGGGAGAGGGGGTCATTCATACTGTTTCACAGTATTGTCTGGAGGTGTTGTTGTTGGTTGATAGCAACAGTTTCGTAGGCAAGCCTGCAGGGTACACTTCGAAGGATAGAAATGAAAGAGAGAGAAAGAGAAGATGAAAACCCTAAGGATGAATGAACTACTACTATTACTTTATGTATTGGATCCAACAAGGACAGCGACTGTGGCTCACTATTTCAGATATTTTATGATTAAAGAAAAGTGAAGATGGAGCTAAGCCTCAGTCTCACGGGAAGACAATGTTGTAGACCGAGATATTCATCATCTTACCTTTTTTTCAGTACATGATGAAAACTACAATTCAAACTAGCTTAGATTACAGCAGAGACACAAGTTCAGAAAAACACTGCTCGTTTTTCCTGTTAGTTGAGTTTATCAAACACCATACCCAATGCCCAATGTATATCTCAACAAAATTTTAGAAGATATGGCTGGCTAGCAACAAGACGTGTTGGATTATGATCAGGGACATACTTTTACATGAAAACTACATACAACACTACATGATAGCAGAACTGAAGCTTAATATCTTGTCTTTGTGTCTTCGACTGTGACATTTAATTAATTCGATTCCCTCAGTGTCATTGACTTGAATATGGAAAGGAACATTAAATTGATTATGAGAACTAGGTTGGTGAAGTCACAACCGATAGTTTAAAAGGAAAACAATATTCGAATAAGTGGGTTAGACTTACCTACATAAACTAGGGTAATTACTAATTAGAGTAAAAACAACAATAATTAAAATAGTGGTCGACAAATAAGAGCAGATTAAAGTGAGAAAACAGGCTGGAATGTATAGAGTTAACTATTAGGCTTTATAACCTACTAATGTTAACGCTTACTTAATCTTAATAAAAAATAATGACGGAGAAAACTTGTCAATTCCGCTTCACATTGCACATGGCTAGCGTTGGACAATACACAATAAGAGGTCTAGTAGCCACATACATTACACTATGCATGTTCTACCAATTTATTTAGGCTCTAAAGAAAAGACTACCTAAGTGCCTGGCTATAAGTTCTAAACAATACACGGTCATTATCTAGGAAAGAAAAGGCCACAAATTAAATTAAGAGAAACGGTAGAGCTTCAATCACCTAGCTAGAAGAGTCCAACTAAGGCTACATAGCCAAGAGTCCATAATAGACATATATAATATCACCACGCCATCAGAATATTGCAGGCCACACCTCAAAAAGTATAAACCCTAGAAGGGTTAATACTGCAAACTTAATTCACAAATTACCTCCTCCCACTCCTCCCTCACTGATGTCCTCCGAAGAGGTGTCAGTCCAAGGAAGAGCATAAGGAAAGGAATAAGCAGTAGTTGTAGTAGATTGCCGATAAAATCCAGTTCCTTCGTTACCAAATCTTGCAGTAAACTGCCTTTGGGGTACTTGTTGAAATGAAGCAAGTCCTGGTGGCACAGAAAGAGATGCTGGAGGGATGTCAGTGTAAGAGTAACGTAGCAGATCAGCGTTTGCAGCATCAAGCTCCTTTTGGAGCCTTTGAACTTGTCTCTGCAGGAAAGAGATGGCTCCTACGCAGCCATAAACTGGGTCCCTCACGCGTGCCTCTGCTTCATAGGCGAGGGAGTTCACTGCATCCTCCCTCTGGTGAGGAAGGAGTTCGTTGAGGAGTTTGGTCACATTGCTAGCACCAAAAATTTTGTGAACGTTTGCGAATTTTTGAGGCTCTTCAGGTGGGAAGTAAGGGGCAAAGATGCATCCTGGCATGCATTTCCTCCTCAAGAATTTGCAGGCAGCACATGGAGAATTGTAAGAGCTGGATGATGCCATTTCCCTGCACTAGAAAGATTGGCATGAAAACATAAACCAAGTTCATATCCATGTCAAGTTCTTCAGTAAGCAGTTTTAGATTTAAACTTCTTATCAAAGACGAAGCAAATGAAGGATCCGAAAACTGGATCTGATGCAAGTTCAGCTGCACCTCTTAATATGTATTCCATTTATTTTCATAAGCTTTGATATATTCCATTATTATTTTTTTCTCGGATCTTTATTATTATGGTTACAGAATACATGTAGAAAAAACTTTTCTAAGTACTTAGAATTGGAATATAGTATAAGTCCTATATCATCAGACTCTCAACCCTTTACATACATACATGCAACGAGATTATATATGCTGGCTGGCATAAATTCAAAGATTCGTTGTCACTTTCAAGTATAATATTATATATGATTATATTTATCCTTTCTTGTTTCCTTTTCTGAAAAAGATGTGTTTTCCTTCTTTCCTCTTTTTCTTTTCTTTTTCTGTTCATGACGAAAAAAACAGTAAAGAATTCTTAGTTTTAAGCATGTTATCAGTAAAATGTTGAACTGAATTTCTCCTGTAGTTTATGGTATGTTTTCCTCGTCTGCTTCATTTCCTTTATCTGTATAAATCTTTCTTCGGCTGAAGAATTAACTCAGCTGCATGACAAGATAGTTAGTCATATAAATTTCCTTCTCAAAATATTAAATAAGTTGAGCCAGTAAGGGATCTGGCTTCTGCAGTAAACCATGATTATATTTCATGACTATATGGGAAAAAAACATAAAAACAGAAAAGCCCTAGAAAAACATCGTTTTGTGCTATGAGCCGTTAATTTGCCTGAAAGAAACAAAAACAGAAAGAACTATATATGCATAGAGAAAAGGAGCAGAAGAAAGCTACACACAAACATGATCTTACCTGTTTTTGAGGTAGGTTTCTTGGTATTAGATGAACTAAAAGGGAAGTACCTTTTTTCCCTTGTTGGAGGTTCTTCGGAAGATGTTCTCTTTTTCCCCCCCGAGACAAAGTAGTCTAAGCCAACGAGAGGTATAAGCCTCAGATTTGTTAAAGGATGGAGCACTCCTAAAGAGGAAACCCTAATTAAAGAGAGGAACACGGGGAGAGCGACAAACAGATATAGTGTGTGTGTGTGTGTGTGTGTGAGAGAGAGAGAGAGAGAGAGAGAGAGAGAGAGAGAGAGATGAAAAGCTGATAATTAAGTGGTAAAAGGTGATAGTAGAAGGGGGAAGGCAAACAGCATTGAGTGGATGGAGAAGGAATGGATGCAAAAGACAAAGGTAATAAATGGAGGTAGACTAGAAAGAATAACTATGACCTTGCATCCAATAATAATATCTATCAGGAATGTGGGTGGGGATGTCTTACATTCTCCATCCTACTCCAACTCATGCACTGAAACAGATTTATATTTTTGGGAAAACATCAAACCACATTTTTGAACACATGTAAAGGGCATTCAGAAAAAGGCCTCAAATGGTATTTTGAAAATCAAATGAAAAGGAAGGGTTAATGGATTAATATTAGAAACTAATTAACACCACATAAAAGAGTAAAATAAATGGGAGTGGTGTCACATAAGATCAAATTGGTGATAATAATTAACACCGTGACCAACAAATTTTCAACCCTGTCGGAAAGGCTTAGTGGTCTGCTTTACCACATTGTTTTATAAGGACACAAAGGGTAACAAGAATGCGCGAGTGTACGATCATTTTCACACCAGGAGCAGAGATGGTTGGACTTTTGTCTATCAATAGATCATAATCCTCGCTAGACTCTAAACAATGATGATGTGGTTGTTATTATATTTGCAAAAATCAGCAGTGTATACATGGTGATGTTTTGAGTACACTGCACCCAACTGCCCTCAGTATTTAATTATACAATGACAGGAAGTAGCTTATTTTCACAGATTACTACAGTGTCTGGGAAGATTGACCGAGGATAAAGTTTCAGAATATATAGTAGGTGATTTCCTTCCTTTCTACTTTTAGTCATATGTATCTAAGCTTTGTCACAAGAATTTATAATCATTTTAAAGTATCCATATAGTTGAAATTACTATATCTGAAATAACTAAGAAAGCGTTTAAATGAATATATATAGTACATAGGACTGAATAAGGAAAATGGAAGTAAATTTGATATTGAGGTACGTAGTTACGGAACCTCGTTTACGTTGATGGTGGAATGTTGAAAGAAGGTGGTGGTGTGAATTCACGGCAGTGTAGAGAAGGCGGAAAATGTTTTTCCATAGCAGAGAGATGAATGATTTCGTATATTCGTCAATCAACGCTGCTGGAGTTGAAGCTCCAGGTCAAATTGCATTCACTGCGGCTACCCGTTTCAGCCTCCTCTCGTGGCCAAACTTTTTGGGAGTTGAGAGGGCGTTTAACCTCTCAAAGTTTTTAACATCCTCTGTACAATCACAATGATTGTGTATTCCCAAATTTAATAATTATTTAATGTATTTATTTGTATGTTTATAATTTTATCTTCTTAATTTATTTTTAGTTCTGTAATTTTAATCATTTTATTCCCTCAAACTTAATGATAATTTAATATATTTAAGTATATATTTACAATTTTATTTTTTTACTTTTTCATCTTCTTATTTTTTTATATTTATTTATTATTTATTAATAATATATTATTTAGTTCCTTCAATATTTAAGTTCAGCCACTGACTAATTATGGAACATTCACTCTCTCTCACCATTTCTTATATATACATTCAAATTTCATTTTTCTTATAACCCATACAACTTAATATTTATAAAAATATATGCATTTTAATGGTTAAAATTATTAGATGTCACATGTCAAACTAAAAAAAATATATATGCATTTTTCTTTTAATTTTGATCATGTTGGTATGATCTGAATTGTCTACATTTGAAATGTGTATATTTCATCCAGCACTTTGCGATTGTTTCTGTCAAGTGGTTTCATAGTTTTAGTTATTTTTGAGTAATTAATTAAAGGATTTGCTTTCTTTGATTCCAATATGTATTATAGAAAGTGAGAGTTTATATATATACTGTAAAAAGTTGTCTTCTACGTAGATTAAATTAATATTTGTGTAGAAGTAATATATATTTTTTTACATTGATGTCAGAGTCTATGATCGAGGTGACCAATGATGTAAATATATATGCATAAAAATATAATTATATTTTAGAACTTTTCCTTGGCACTCAAAAGTAATTAAAACAATTGTAAACTACCAAAATTAGAAGTACAAATTGTAAATTGTAAATTATATATATATATATATATATATATATATATATATATAAAATCTACAAATAATAAAAAAAACAAATGATGCTAAGCAACTTCAATTCAATTATAAGATAAAAATAATATTTTATCTATCTCTTATTTTTTAGAAGTGTGTAGTCCATATTGTTTCATTGTCACTAATAGTTGTTAGGAATATTTGAAAATAACATTAAATCTATAAATGGTAAAATGAATATAAGTGAAGTTATTAAATATCGAGCATTAGTATAATACTTTTGAAAAATGATGTTGGTTTTTATGCATTAATTGAAATAAGGTTTAAATGAGATTTTGGACCCTAATAAATTTCTGAATTTATTTTCGTCTTCAAATAAAAGAATTTCATTTTCATCTCCCATAAAAATTCAACTTATATTTTGGTATTTATGAGTTACTAAAATTTATTAAGTGATAATTTACAAATTAAATGATAAGTTAGTTAGATGATCCGTTCAATAATGAGAAAGGATTTATTTATTTTTTTCTTAAATAATCTTTTGGTTTCATAAATTTGTGACTTCTGTTTATCCTTAATAAAAAGTATTTGTTTTGATTCCCATAAATTTCTTTTATATTTGACATTATCGATAATTATAACAACATTCTTTAAATAATGAGTTATCCGTTAAATAATATTACATTGTAAACTTATAATATTTTTTTCAATTTTCTATTTGAAAGAAAAAATTAATTAATATGTTATAAGCTTTTACATTTTTTATTTCTTTATGTATTTTTTATTCGATATAGATAAAGATGAACAGGAGTAGTGATGGTGTTTCGCTAAAATATTAGAGGAATAAGAAGATTATTTTATTTATTCTTGTTTAAATATGATTCGTGAGATATTTTTTCTATGAGGTATTTTTTTACGAAATGTTTATTTATTCTCTTTATTTATTATTTCTATACTGTAAGTTATTGGATAAAATAAATTTCAATAATTTTTGAACAATTGATCATATTACCTCCAATACAAAATTTTCAAGTAACTAATATCTTATTCAAGGTCTTCAATAAACATTTCTTAAATCCTCTGAACAATGTGCAAAAATTGTAATTAAGAAGAGCATAGTTGAAGGAGCCTTTTCCTTTCCCACATGCCCCACCAATCCACTTTCCTATGCCCCCCACTCGCCAGCCCCATAAATAAACACTTTCATATTTTAAGACAAAATACTTTCATTATTATATGGAAAAACCCAATCTATTACTTGTGTTCTTCTTGTTTAATTTGCAAGGATGATAGAATGACATGCTACCAGAATAGTTTAGTATCTATTATTTCTTCTCTTATTTTTGCTACAAGAAAAATTAAATTTATCAATAGATAAAATCTGTCGAAAACTATTTGTCAGTAAATAAATATCATCCATTTATGTCAAAATTTATTATTCAAATAGTTGGTAATGTATGAAAGATATTATAATACTTATATTAGTCAGTAATTACTAATAAATATATCTAATACTAATTATTAATATTACTTATTATGAGATTTACTATTAGTAATATTTGTTCATAATATTATTTTTATTTTCAACAATCATGTCCTTGTACCACACATAACCTGCGTAATCTTCTATGTCAACCATTCAGGTTCAATTCAATTGTTCAATTCCACAATTTAATTTAAATGTAACTCAAATTATCTGTAATCAAACATTAATATCGAATAATGAAAATAAAATACAATAGATAGTTAAATAGTTCCTAGAAAAAGGCCTAAAGATACAATTGGAACACAAATGTTACTCTATTATTATTATTTTTACAAACATCTAATAATAATAATAGTTAAAAAAAATATTGTTCTTGTATGTTATCTTATTATTCCTAAATACACCTATATTTTAAAATATAAGTTAAAAATAATAATATTTTAAAGAACACTAAAAAACTTATATAAATAAATTAATTAATGTCAACCATGTTTATGTTTAACCAATAAACTAATTAATATAAAAAAATATTATATCTACTTAAATATACATGATCTATGCTTAATTTTAAAAATTGTTAAAAATATTTTATGATATAATATAAAACTACTTAATATACAATATGAGAAATATAATAATTCAAAATTAAAAAAAATTGTAATTAAAAATAATTCATCTACAAATAAAAATGTCAAGGTTAAAAGTATTTTTTTAAGTATATTTTTCATTTAACATTTCAATTTCAACAAAATAATTTTATTAAATATTTATTATTTAATAAAATATCTTATTATAGCTTTAAGCCACAAGATAATTTTTCAACTTTCAGCTAATTTTCCAGTCAGTTTTAAACATACCCGATGACACAATGATTAAGAAATATAATTAATGTTCTAACTTCCATTAGGATCATTAAATAGTTGCCGTAAAAAAGTCATTAACTATTATTTTATTTTACCACTTATATCTCGTAATCTCCCATTGTTCAAAACATACACATTAATTAATTCTTAAGGGTGAAATTAAAAAAAAAAAAAACATTTCTGATAAAAGGTTGTAAAATCACAATCAACTTAAAATAAAAACTAGTAAAATAATGTCAATTAAAGAGAGCGAAGGGTCTTTAAAATCTTGCTATTTGGTACGAAAATAAAATTTTGCCACCTGTTGGTATGAACTGTTACTTAACAAAATTTGAGGAATTGAAATATATCCAATGAAATACCCGCAGAGTATTTCATTTGCTTTAGAAGGTCATAACTTGTTTTTGTTACTTTTCGCAAGTAATAATTTATACGTACCCCGTTATGTTTTTTACCCGTACAAAAGTTGCATGGCAATGTTATGTTCGTCATTTAGCAACGCATGAATACGAGAGAAGTACTAATTTTGCGTTGGAAGCCCTGTGGCTGTGTAGAATTGAATTTGATCCACTTGAATGTGTTGCAATGAAGTTTTAAGTTGAGAGGAATTATGAGATTGCACGACACGACATATCGTCACTGTTGTTTCCT